GGGCGGGCTCTCCTCAGATGCTTCCGATTCATCGAGAGATGATAAATTAACTGATAATGATGTGTGGGAGTCCCTGTCAGCCTGTCAGCCGCCACCCGTCTCAGAACGGCGAGCGGCGGCAATAAAACGGGATCCCTTAGTCGAATCAATAAATCTAGGTATGTGTGCGCACAGTGGTCGCGGGAGTATTGTTTGCTTGTTTGTACCTGTTTGTATGTTTGTATGTTGTGTGTGCTTGGTGTGTAAAGATAGCCCGGACTAGCCGTTTGAATGTTGTTCTGTGGGTCTTGGATACCCGATTGGTGCCCTCTAGATATCCTCCGCTGGTCTCCATCAATTGTTACATGCAATGACGATGTGCCCGCCAATTGGATATCCTCATAATGCATTGTCACGCCCGTACACGTATTTATGACATCTTGTTTAACACGCTTAAATACACTTTTACAAGCGGACTTGGCCTGACAGTGTTTACGTGATTTGAAGCGAAGTGAAAGGAGTGAAATGCGAATTTCAAACGCTATATGGAGGACAACGATAAAATGGAAGCGTTCAAAGCTATGGTGGTTCAAATAGCGTTACACTAGAATTATGTGCATAGCTCACACGTAAGGATTACTCATTTTAGCTTCAGAGACTGTGTAATATATAGATCTTGGTGGACGAAAGCTGTGGCAATCTCATAGGACGTAGGTGAGCAACTTGAGCTTCATACCACATGAAAATGGAAGCGATTTTAGTTAGGTATCAGTCAAATTACGACCTTGCTTTGGGTATTGGATTAGGCCTCGGTACTCTACGGTAGGTCCTGTGCGTTGTTCCACAGGGTTCACGAGCACCTAAATATAGAGTTGAAATCTCAAATGTGTGTTATTTGTTCACAATGAAGAAATTTCACAAGGAACACATTTCACACAATACCACGCGATATGTATCGTAGGTAATTCGTACCGCTCCCCGCTCTCTGCTCGTCTGTGGTACCGGCCTCCGTTCGGTCGATGACTGGAGTCGCTCGGTGCCGCGCTGTGTTTCAGGGCCCTCCGCCGGCCGGCCTGCTACGCTGCTCCGAATGTCTCCTCTGCTACCCGTCCGCCCAGCTGCTGGCCGCCCACCAGCTCACCGCGCATGCGCCAACAGCCGAGCGACGGGCCCAGTCTGCCATCCTGGTGCGGTACGACTACCTGAACCCGCGCGCGGCGCCGCTGTCTCTCGGAGCGATGGCGGCGGCTGCCGAGTCGGCGGCGGCGGCGGCGGCGCGTCTCGTCAGCTCCCAGCCCCCGGCCCCTCCCCCGCCGCCGGCAGTGTCTGTCGCGGAGCCTTCCCCCGCCTCAGAGGAGGCCATGCTGGCGCGGCTCTCCGCGCTCTCCGACATGAAGCGGTTGCAGTGCAAGCAGTGTGACAGCTTGCACAAGACGGTGCATAACCTGCGGCGCCACGTGGCCGGCCACATCGGCTGGACGCGGCACGGCTGTCCGCGCTGCTCGCACCGCTGTTACTCCCGGTTTGACGTCATTCGGCACCTGAAGAGCCACCACAAGCTGAAGCCGAGGCAGGCAGAGGAGCTGATGAGCAGGACGGAGCGGCGGAAGCCGGCGGCTCGGTCGTCCGGCAGACGAAAATCTTCCTCGGCGGAAGAAGAGGAGACGGCGGGTGAGGGAGAGCAGGTAAAGCTGACTGAACCGTCCGTCGAGCCAGCGGCCAGGGTTCAGATGGCGGTGCTGCCACAGAGGACGTATGAAATGCGGGACCTGACCATACCTCGTCCTCCTCCCTCCCCGTCTGCGACCTCCCAGGTGCCCGCTCCGGCTGTTCTGCCTGGCGTACTGCCTCCCCGTCCTCCCCCGCTGCCGGACCGTCCCCGTTCTTCTCCACCTCCCGAGGAGTCGCATGTAGCGCCGCCACCGACCCTAACCCGACGACGACCGGGCAGGAAGAATCTCACGGACATCATCCGCTACATCCGCTCCGCTGCCGAACCGTCAACCCCCGACTCCGAGCCCGGCGGCTCATCACAGTCACCCGCCGAGGGGAACATCTTCCAACAAGTTCCGTCAGGGATGAATGAGGTCTTCCGGGAGCCAGTAGCGACAGAAGAGGCGGAGGCGGAGGACAGTGACGCTGACGATGCGGCCGACGCTGCTGCAGACGATGACGACGAGCTGGAGGAGTTCATGTCGCTGTCGGCGGGCGCCGAGCTGGAGCCGGGCGCTGTGTGGCGCACGCTGCCGCCGCTGGTCCCCCTGGTGGGCGGCTCCCGACCCGGCGCGGGGCCGCGCAGTGCCGGGACACCATTGCCGGGCGCCTCCCAACAGCTGGCTGCACTCGAGCGGCTCGCCGAGACCTCGCAGCAGCACGACTGCAACGAAAACATCGAGCTTCGGCCGCCGAGCCGCGCCCGCACACCGGCCGGCGAGTCCAAATCTCTGCCGGCGACGCCGAAACGCTCCCCCACGGCACCCTGCCTGCTGAACCTGAGCCACACTCGGTCACTGGACGAGCACAACTTCTTTCCGCGGGTCCTGCTGACGGACATCGCCCTGCGGACCTGGAACTCCAGCCCGACGCCGGCGCGGCCGGCCAGTCCGGCCGGCGGCGCGGTGTACCCGGCCGGTGCGCGGCTGGACCCGGCCGCGGCGGGCGGGGAGGCCGACTCGCCGGCGGCCCGCCGAGGCAGTCCGTCGGGAGCCGCCAGCGCCTCCGGGGGCGTGTCGCCCACTGGTGTGGAACAGGAGCGCCGCTCCCGGCCGCCGCGGAAACCCAAAACACCGAGGAAACTCGACTCTGTATCGGACCTGAATCTGGTGTCGATTGGGGAGTCGGAGGCGACTGTGGCGGCGGCGGCGGCGGGGGCGTCACCTCGGTCCCCCGACCGCCGTCTGAAGGGGTCAGCCGAGTCAGAGAGGTCACCGCGGCCGGTGCAGAGGTCAGTCACTGTCCCAACTCGAGTAGTCCCCACCAAACGAGCTTTCATACCGGCGAACGTGTCTCCCTCGTCGTCTGATCGTTCCTCGGGGTCCTCTCCTCCTGCTGCCGGCCGCCGCGGACGGAAGAGACCCAACCCCGGGTCTGCTGCCGCTGTGGGGGCGCCGGTGGGCGGCCCCAAACCCGTGCCGTACATTCCGTCCGTGTGGCCGCCGCTGGTCAGGAAGCGCAGCTGGTCCAGTCCCACAGAGGAGCCGCCGAACGCCGTCATCACGGCGGCCGAGAGCGTCAAGCGGCGCCGCTACCGCCAGCTGTCGGGCCGCGCCGAGGCCCGGTAGGTCGACACTCGGAGTTAGCTCGGCCGTCACTCCGGAGTTGGATCAGTGGTCACTCCGGAGTTACCTCGACGGCCACTCCGAGTTCGTCGGCTTCGCCATCACCAAATATGGATGCAGACCAAATATGAAAGCAACTACACCTGTCTGTGAGAGTTTCATGGGTAATTCAGGTATGCAAGGGGTATCTCTCGCGCTGTGCTGTACGTGGAAGATTCTCAGCTTGGTTCGGGTTGTGAGTGGTACCGGTTCTGTGATGTGAGCGATATTGAGGCTGAGCGGAGGGCAGTGGTCGGTCGCGATGGGAGCTGTTTACGTGCTGTGTGGGCCGCGTGGCCGCGTTGCGACACTGGGTTGGCAGGGGGGCCGAGGGACGAACGGCAGACGGCAGGTCATTGCATCACTGTGTGCTGTAAATGACCTGTGTACCGGCGGGGTTTGACGGGGAACGTTTCTCTAACTTATGTGTCGGGTGGGTTGGGGCCGGGAGCGCAGAGGCCCCTCATAGGTGTTCGTCGGACGGGCGGGGTGGAGAGCCAGTTCGTTCAGCGGGGAGGTGATCTGTGGGCGATTGGGCAGCTGGAGGGAGGGCTGGGATACAGTGTGTCCCGTTCGTGATGTTTCGGGCAGAAGGGTGGGGTGGTTATAGGTGTCTTATCCTGCCGCGTTTCAGCGGCTGTGCGCGTCGGCCGCACTTCGTTCTGAAAACCTATATCGTACAAGGCTCGAAATGTGCGCGGAATATCAAAATACTCTTGCAACGTGTAGTTTTTGGCGCACTTGTTGTCTTGTCACGAAGAAAGTCTATGTTGTTGCACTTGTTCGCCTTTATTGTCTTCCTGTCCTATTTATCATTGTCCCTTCACACGTTACTTTTGGAAAAAAAGGTCGTAGAACGACCCATAGACATACCCGCGCCGTTCCGTGACCTGTTCTAGCTGGGACAGCTTTGGCTCTGTCAGTGCATAAGCGGACACTGTGCGTTTTGAAGTCTCACTTTGATATGTTTTGTGATGAAGCATATCGGTCTCGATATCTCTCTCAGCGCAGCCCTCTGCACGGGCTGTGTGTCTTGGCCGGTCAATGTTTGGTAGGAGCTCAGTAGCCGCCCGTTTTAAGTCTTTTCATGTCGCGTTCAGTTGCTAGTTTCTGTCTCAGGAAGCGGTGGCGTCCCCTCACGACGCGTCGAGTACCTCGGAGCGCGGCAGTCTCGTTCCATGTGAATAAACTTGTGATATGCGACGTCGTTCCGTAAATACAGAGTTCCTTCATAGCATTACGCCGTTTTATGTATCATGACGTGTTATGGTGGCCAGTGCTCACTCCTGTGTCTCGATACCTTTACAATTGAATATTTACTCCGGTACCACGTTGTCACGGAATAACTTATCCATAACTTATCACTTATCCATAACATGAGTGCGTTGCGGGTATCGACCCTTAAAGTATCATAACGACCCTCTGCATGCGGTCACGCCCAATTATCAATCAGTTCCGTCGAAAGCGGAACGAATTTATCGTCGCGGCTATATCTCGTAGAAATTTAGTCCGAATGGTTTGAATCAGTGTGTGAACTAGAAAGGAGTGTCTCCCCGCTCAGCTGTTATTTTGTTCCTCTTATATGACAGCTTCAATTACATGAAAATGTCTTCATTATGTTGGAGGGCTCACTCACTGCATTCTCATTTACCAGCCTGATTCCTCTCCCCGGAACCCGTCTCCGACGCACCCACACAGCCATTACACGGTGTTTTGTCTATATTTGACCGCCCTGTTAGCGGCATACACACGATCACAGTACACGAGGAGGCCGGGCCGGGCCGGCGCGCGGTCAGAGCGCGGCCCCGGTCCGCCGCAGCGCCCGCCGGCCGTCTCAGACGGCCGCGACCCGACGCACCGCGGCGGCAGCAGTTTGGACATTTGTGATGATGGCGACAACAGCGCCGCCCAGTGAGCACTTATGGAACTAGCGGACGGCGCCTTCTCACTTGCCCAGCTTGTTGTCGAGGTTCTCCTGAATTGCCTGCAGGAAGTCCATTGTGTTCAGGTACATGTCGGGCTTGACGTTCTTGATGCCGTGGATGCAGCCGGCCAGGTCCTTGGTCATCTTGCCGGAGTCGACGGTGTCGACACAGGCCTGCTCCAGGGTCGTGCAGAACCTGAGGTCAGGGGAGGAGCGGGTGGTTAGCTTGTGCAGAACCTGCTGAGAGGGGGCAGTGACGGTAAGTTAGCCCGACGGTACGGAAGGCTGACTGGAGAGTCAGGGTAGAAGAGGAGGCTGAGCGACGTCATATCCGTCATCATAGTAGGTACACAAAAATACAACGTCACAAATCAGTGCAACACAATCCCTCTTGCCATTCAAAGCTGATAAAACATCACAAGCTATAAAAAAACGAAGTAAGATTTCGGGACCGCGACGTTTCTGTTCCCTATCAATTGAATGCAGCTCTTCCACTCCTACAAAAGTCTACCTCCCTGTCCGTCCCAGGCTCTCCTCAGCCGCCACTCACTTGGCCAGTTCGGGCGTGTTGTCGAGCTTGGCGCGGTGCTCCAGACCGCGCGTCCACGCGAAGATAGACGCGATCGGGTTGGTGGAGGTGGGCTTGCCCTTCTGGTGCTCGCGGTAGTGCCGCGTCACGGTGCCGTGTGCTGCCTCAGACTCGATCGTCTTACCGTCCGGACACATCAGCACGGATGTCATCAGGCCGAGGGAGCCTGCGGGAGAGAGGTCATTCAGGTCGTTGAGGTCATTAGACCGAGGAAGCCTCCGGGGAGAGGCCAGAGGTCAGGTCATCGAGGTCACCAGACCCAGAGGATGCGAGGTCACAGGTCATGTCACGGAGGTCATCAAACCCAGAGAGTCTGGAGGGAGAGGTTAGAGGTTAGGTCAATTAAGTCATCGGATCTAGAGGCCTTTGGAGTTGGGACAGTCACAACAGCTATGGCCAGAAGATATAGTTAAAATTGGATTACGGATTAGACCAGTTTACAATACGAAATAACGATCATAAAGACAAACGGGCATCATTTACCATCTTTCATTCATTACGCTTGGTCAGACACTTCACACCACACTCTCCGCTTATCTCAAACCTCGCCGAGCCACAAATCTAAGCCACTGACCGTATCCCTGCGCGACGATGTCGGACTGGACGTCACCGTCGTAGTTTTTGCAAGCCCAGACGAAGCCGCCGGCCGATTTGAGCATCTGCGCCACCATGTCGTCAATGAGCCGGTGCTCGTACCAGATGCCCAGCTTGTCAAAGTCGCCCTTGTAGTCCCTGCAGGACGTGGAGACGGTAAATGGGGTCAGATTTGTGGGTACAGAGATGGGGTACAGCTGAGATGGAGTAGGGGACACAGTAAGGAGGTGTTCCGCTGTGGAATGTGATAATGTTGAAAAAAACGGTTCAAATACATACGCCTTTAGATCCGAAACGTTGGATTAAATGTTTCAGTGATAAAGTATCAGGAGACTAGGGACGGCCGTGTCGGCCACGCTGACTCACTTCTGGAAGACCTCCTCGAAGATGTCCTTGAACCTGCCGTCGTAGCGCTTCATGATGGTATTCTTGGTCGACATGTACAGCGGCCACTTCTTCTGCAGCGCAACCTGAATAACAGAGGCAAGGAAATGGTTTACGAACAGTCAGAATGTGTTATTAACACCGCGGTAAATACTGGTTGACATGAGCGAAGCTGTACAAAAGCTTCTTCTCCCTCCCATGATCCCGTGAACGAAGCGCTTGTAGCTAGTACTTCCTGGATATGAGGCGTCGTCTTTTTAGCGGCGTCCAGAACAACACTCGCAATAAGACCAGGATGGACTCGGCTACCCCTCAAGCTTTTAGTGCAATAAACTAAATCCGGGCTTTTCAGCAGTCACGGCAGCCGCAAACATTACAGGAAAACAACCACAACCTTCAATGCCGTAAAACGCTCCTATCAACACACCAAGTAACCCACACACCACAAATCCCGCTCGGCACTCTACCCAAACGACCTTGACAAACTGGAACCCATTGCTGCTACCGGCTCGGCTGCCGTCGCCACAGTCGAGCCATAGCGACCAACACGTCAGCGGGGAATGTCCGCCATTTACCATGGGCGGGCAATAACAGCCAGTCGACTCGGCTGGGCGGCGCAGGCTGACCATGTCACTTTGGACGGAACTACCCGTCGGCGCCGCGAGAATGTGGCTGTTTATCGGTCATGGTGCGTAGTTGTGACGTGTCATGAATTACGAAACGCGAGAAAGATACGAGGATAACGTTAACTCAAGAGAGGACAAGTGTGTAGTCAGGCACATAGTTAGTCGTTAAGTGGGACGAGACATAGAGGATTCTTCATGGCTCCGAGTGGAAGATAAGGATATCTTTTCCAAGCGGGTTACTGAAAAACCGAGCGACGAAGGAGCGAGGTTTTTCTGTAACACGCGAGGAAAAGATATCCGATCTTCCACGAGTGAGCCATGAGGAATCCTATATCTTTCTATGTTGAGGTTTATTCTTAATTAAGAAAATAATATATTTAAATGCATTCATCCATGTAAAAATAGATTCAGAGTAGTTTGTTCTTATTTCATAAGTTTCATCCATAAACAACCATTAAAAATATCGTTCGGTTATTGACCCATCATCACTTGAACTCTTGATTTTTCGTTATGAACCCTCGAGACCTTATCTTTGCATCTCAGAGGGATGCAGAGATAGCAAATTCTTATCTCTGCATCTCAGAGGAGTGCGAGATAGAAATATCCCTGCACTGTAAACCCAATGGCAAATAAACCTCAACTAGAAAGAATACCGGTAAACGCCATGGGATGATGGTTATTCAGGCAATGACACTAATATGTACTAACTCGAGCACTGAGCAGCGACTGATGTAACGTCCGTGTCAATCCATTACACCAGAACAGCGAACGGCCGCGAACGGCTTGGGCTTCCAGGTAAATTGACACTAGAGCAGCTGTCTGATTTACCGGCAGCGTGACTTGTGCCGTCTAGTATCCATAGAGAAATTATTGGGCCAACAGGCATTCAGACAGCCTTAGATGGGCTCTGGATTCTGAGCAGTAGCTTTACATTTAAGCCCCGAGGTCTTGCCGTCTGTCATTTTACGATCCAATTTCAAGCAGTAATAGCTCCTCGCGTTTCAATATCGAGTCACATGAGCCGACTAGGATTTAATTTCATACGAAGCACGTCCAATCGACTTGCCCCTACCCCCTCTCAATCTGTCGTTCACATACCATAACGATACCCAGTAACATGTCTGGCACTAAGTCTAGTGGGGAGGAATCTGTAAAAGCTATCTCCCTACCGCAGCCAGTCCTTGACTAAGCAGAGACGATACACAGAACCACAGGACGTTGGCGGCCGGTGGTCGGGCATTGATCGTCTCGCGGAAAAAAAATGGCGACGCCGAGACGCCCAGAGGGAATAGGGTAATTTGGGAAGATTAGGCTGTTTGGGTTACCGCTGGAGTTGAAGATATGAATGCCAATAAGCAGAAGGGTTGATGCGATTGTGACGGAGATTTGGGCTTGATAAGCAGGATGATTTTTATCCCATAGAAAGTCTGAAATAAAAGAGCTAGAACAAAGAAAAATACCTACGTAAGTAGGAATCCGTAAATATTGCTTCAACCGTCATTATCCTGCGACAGGCTCGCCACACAGTCAGTCTCTGCTGGTCACTGACATACCACTCCTCGCTCTATCTGCTGTCCGACCGTCAATCCAGCGGCGACTCGGTCAATCTACCAGCGTCAGGCTCAGGAGGGTAGGCTCACCTGGAAGCTGGAGTGGGCGAAGCTGCGGATGGACTCGTCCGTGTTGTACATGGCCATGGCCACGCCGCCGCCGTCCTTGAAGGTGAACACCTCGGTGGCCTTCGGACTGCCGCCGTTCGGCGTCCACACCAGCTCCACCTGAAGGGACAGAGAGCAGGGATAGGTCACAGCAGGTCACAGAAGGTTTCGGTGGCCTTCAGACTGCCGCCGTTCGGCGTCCATACCAGCTCCACCTGAGGGGGGTCAGAGAGCAGGTCACAGCAGGTCAGGGACAGGTCACAGGAGGTTTCAGTGGCCTCCGGACTGCCACCGTTCGGCGTCCATACCAGCTCCACCTGACGGGTGTCAGAGCGGGTCACAGCAGGTCAGAGCAGGTCAGAGCGGATCAGAGCAGGTCAGGTATGGGTCACGGCAGGTCACAGCGGGTCCTTATGGGTAGGCACAGGTCGCAGCAGGTCAGGTACAGGTCACACAAAGATAGGTAATAGGTCAAAACAGGTAGATCGCATTTAATGCAGAGCCAGCTCAGCAAGTTCACTTTAACTCACCACGAAAAATCAGTTCATTCAACTTGCATTACAGCTAGAATAAATATCCCACTTTACGACTGAATCTGGACGCGCCTGCGGCCGATTCGAGCCCGCTCCGATTCCCGGTACCCTTTCGGCCGCCGTGGTGAAGGTTTCCGCACCGTCGTTCATCACGCCTCGGTCACATGTTACCCCAAATACGGGCACACGGGACCGTCCGGCGCTGTGACGCAAGCCGCGCAATCCAAACACCAGCATCAGACGTTCATAAACCGTCGCTTGATCGGACAGAGTTCATGGCAATTTATTAACTATTCCGCAACTAGACGGCAGATCATGGAGAATTCAGCTCAGCATTGAGTCGGGGTCACAATGAAAGCTCCTCGGCTTTATTTGTGCGTCCTCATGAGAGTTGCCACACTGGGGACCATCTAAAATAATACTGCAATAAAATAGAAGCCGGCCGTTCACTTTAGTTCCTGGCGGGGTGCCAACTGTCCGGTGTCACACATCATCGTCGTCCCGCCGGGTGTCAGCCCTAGGATCGCGGTCATAGCGGCTTTAACGAGCGTCCCTGCCCCCGCCGGTCCGGCGATCCACCCGATGGGGCGCGGCGCGCACCTGATGCGACAGATTCCGCGCCGGGCCGCGCCCCTGCCAGCCGCGTGCCGCGCGACCAGCGAGCGACGCCGGCTAACGGACGGACCGCGGCGGTGGGAGCTAGACTGGGGTGAAAATAGCACTACTTCGCATCCGTTCAGGGTTAGCGAGGGAAAAGGATGTAAACAACCCTCAGAACCCTTCACGGAATGGGAGTTGTTTGGCCACACGGGCCTCACAGACCAGGCAGACATGAGTTGGCCAGAGAAGCGTGGAAAGGCACGCCAGCAAGCTGCTAGGGGAAGCACAACAAAAGGGGAATTAAATAGCGCGAGTTTCCTCGTGAATTACCTATCAGGTGGAAGTTAGTGGCAAATGTCGGGAGAGCAAGAGGCCAGTGCGTTGTTATGGGATAGACGGTGCTATTGCTCGAGTCGAGCGCTGGCTGAGGCGCTTCAATCGCCAAAGTATCTAGCTGAACCATGGAAGTTCACCATCTCTTGAAGAAAGTTCGACCGGTGAGTGAAGTTGGATTGAAAGTTATATGTAGTTACTTGGAATAAAGGATTGAGGAGCTTCCTGCCATCAAACACTATTTCAAGGTTGGGCAAACTTAAGCTGTGTCAGCTGTCGAATCGCCGCCAACAATCGACATAGGAGCACCGCGAGTTTAGATTTCTGAAGAGTAGGTTCTTTTAGCACTGAATCGGACAAACTGAATCAACAATTAGCCAATATCCCTCCAATTTACCCACTTTCCTTCATTTTCAGTCAGCGAACAACCCAATCAGTCACCCCCAAACACTTTTCCACGTACTATGTGCCCCCCCCCCCCCCCCCCACCACACACACTCCTTCATGACCCACCCATGGCCATGACCCCCTGTGACCCGGACTGACCTTTCCGGGCCCGGGCAGCACCATGTCAGTGGCCTTGTACTGGTCGCCGTGCGCGTGGCGGCCGATGACGATGGCGTCTGTCCAGCCGGGCACGATGCGCGGGATCGTCTTGCATAGGATGGGCTCGCGGAACACGGTGCCGCCGAGGATGTTACGGATCGTGCCGTTCGGAGACAGCCACATCTTCTTCAGCTTGAACTCTGCGGACAGACGGGAGGGAGGGGAGGACGGTCAGTGGGATTTGGGCGGGTGGTGCGAAGTGTGAGGGTGACCATGTCCTGTTGTGCTTCGATGGAAATCAAAAGAAGATGAGAAAACACGATCATGAATGAAAGAAAAAGCTGGCGAGCAAGTTAACCCGCGCCCCACTGGGGTCTGCGTATAACACGCCCTACTGGGGGGGGGGGGGGGCTATTCATAGCCCCCCCCCCCTCCTAACTCCGAAACTACTGGGCCGATCGTCAAAATTCAAACGGCGTCTGATAGCCCCGGAAAAACTGTCCAGCGAAACCTAATTTCATTGACCTCGATGTCACCCATGACGTCACAGGTCAGGTCAAAGCAAAAGTTATTAGCATTTTGGCTTGTTCACGTTTTGGGCTCTGGCCGCCGTCTTACAAGTCAGATCAGGCTCATTTTTGGTTCACACACTCGTGAACAGATGCTCTAGATACCCTGAGGGTACCAAACTTGTACTTTGATTTTCAGGTCAAGGTCAGGTCATCACAGGTCACGAAAATATTATATCATGCGTCGGTCACGTGACACATGTTTTATGGTCCATTTAGGCCAAAATTTCGAATTTGATGTCGTCTGTGTCATTCGAGGTCATTTTGAGTCAAATTTAGCTTAGGTCAGGTCACTTTCAGGTCAAAAAAGGTCAAATTTTGAAGTTAAAATTTTTCAACAAAAAAGGTGTCTATTGGATGCAGTTTGAGCTCAGGAACACGATGGTGCTATTTATATTGGCGTACGATGTCAAATACGTGCTGAAAAATTGATTTGAAAAATTAATAATTGTGAATTTTTTGCAATAATGCGTATAACTTGGCCATTTTTGAAGATATTTAGCTTAAACTTGCTAGAGTTAGTCATAATAATGCGTTCTATCACATATATTCCGGTTTTTTCGAAAATACAAAAACTTTTTGGAAAAAATGTAAAAATATAAATTTTGAATTTTATTATATCAAATTTTCGAAATTTTCAAAATTTCGAAAATTCGAGATAGCAGTTTGATAGCGCAGTCTATTCTGAGTCCTTTCATGCAAAGAAATTGGATTTAGCTTAAAAACTGAGCTCTTGGGAGCAATTGCCGTGGTTCAATGTTTTGCGTCGAAATCGGCCGAACATGACGTCACTCTGACGTCATTTCCGGCCGACCTATGGTAGGTACGAAGCTCAAATTTTGACACAAGGTGTCAAATTGATGCAGCCGAAGGTACTGAAAGTTTGGCGTCGATACGTCAAGCGGTTTGGAAGTTATTGCAGAAAAACGGGAGGGGGGCTATAAATAGCCCCCCCCCAGTGGGGCGCGGGTTAAGCTGCTTGACTAGTCCATAGAACCGAGTGACGAAACCACGGAACTAAGCTTACGAATCGAGCGGTTGCATATTCATGGACTTGTATTTTGTGAATCGCTTTATGCCTATTTCGGTCTACATTGGATTGGCCAGATCTCATATCAGCAACACCACGCGGCAAAGCAGCGTTGTAAATCGATAATAGCCACGTTTGTAACAGTAACCAAAAATAACCACCCCGCTATGGCGTCCGCCTCTTCACCGCTCCCCTTCCCATATCGAGAGCCCCGCCTTCGTGCCAACTGTCCCACCTTAGAGTGAAGTGGCCCGCTCGAGTGCCCTCTCCACGGTCTAACTACGAGTCGCATTGTGCCCTCTATCCCGGCCAAACCCAGGTTCATGGCCAAGGGTTAGCACCCCCTTTCCGACCAGACGACAATCGAGTTCTGCCACAGCCCGACGGCATGGTATGCAGGATAACGGCTTACATACGGCGAACAAACAATACACACTCTGTACCGCGGAGATAACTGGTCAGATAGGGACATACCGGTCCGATAGTAGTGAAAAGGCTTTTTTTTTGGTAGTGAAAAGGCTGTTGATTTTATGAGTAGAGGCGGTAGAGCACCGGTTATAGGAAACGGGCGACCGTCGCTAACGCCATTCGTCGCTAGCTGGATATACGGCCCCAACGACCATCTTGCGCTGCTAGGATCTCCACCAGCTCAAATTTTCCTCTATACATACTTGGATTTGGAGACGCGGGTCATCCGTCTCCGTCCTCAGACCGATAACTCTGGACGGGGGCCAGCTCGGGCTAACCCGATCTGCATCTGACGACCGCCACCAGTCACCGACGCCCTCCATCCCCACCGCTCGCTCCCGAACCGACAGCAAAAAATTACATCAGATTCGGCGTCTGGACGCCAGCCAGGTATCCTGGCCGCCGCTCGCTGCCTTTTCCCTCGCCTCATGATGTCCCGACGGGTTCAGTTCACGCGGCGGTAACATTAGCGCCGGGTTCGTGCGTCAGTCCCAAATTCATCGCGCCCGGCCGGGCCCCTCGCCGGCCCCCGCGAGCCCCCAGGTGCGCGCGCAGCCGCCGTGACGTCACTCAGACAGTCTGCTGCACGTGACCGCGGCGCCCATGGCCGGCGGACAGGATCGCGCCGGGCGCCGGGCGGCGGCGACCGGGTGGCAACAGGCCGGTGTCGCGAGCAACGCGACTCTCCGTGCATCGCTACCGGCCCCGTTCGGTGCTCACTGCTGCTTAGGAACAGAGCTGGGGTCAGGTGGAATGGCTCGGTCTGGGCGAGCGCGGAGCGGCATGCAATGCATGAGCTCGTCGCGTACTGCTGGCTCAGATTTGGAGTGATCACCATTAGCAACCGACCTTCAGTCGTTGGTGAGGCTCGTCTAATGAACTGAAACTAAAATAATCACGCTCTCAACTCTCAGCAGCCAGAAGTCAAAAGGACGTCCGATAAGTTAGCGCTCTCACTGCCCTTTAGGAGTCACGGTTGCCACTGTCATCAATTTCAACAATACCCGCACTTGCAAAAAGCTGCAAAAGAAACGTGATTGTGATCAGACTGGATAGACGACGGCCCTAAGCTCTAAAAGATTCTCGAACCTTCTCAAACCCACTCAATACACAGCTTAGACATGAGCATTGACTGAGTACCCGCAGCCGTGCCGCGTAAGCGTGTCTCCTAAAACGCTGAGCACACTGTACGTTCCGCTGAGCACATCGTACATTGCATAGAACATACTGTATCGTGCAGAGCTCAGCCAAATATGTCCGACCCGACCCAGCACTGCAGGCCGACCCGTTACATTAGTTCGTGTTCCCCGCATCGCCCGCCGGTCCGCCGGCCGACCGCCGCGCCCGCTGACAGGGCCAACCGTCGCCGCCCAGGCCCGGCAGGGGCCTCGCAGGGCAGGCAGTGCACGGGGAGGCCATTTTGGACACGATCGCGAGCCAGCTGACTGTGCTGGGAGCTGCAACACGGCCGGCCTCACAGGCAGTCCCAGCGAGTTTCAGCGGGGCAGCCCTCAAACGCAGCGGACCAGATCCAATTTTGATGTTACTGATTTCGGCACTGATCTTGCAATTTGTTCAAAGCTTGTTCAAATGAGTGCGATTGCCAAAACATCAGGTCGTTTTGAAACGGCCAGCCGTTGCGAATGTTCCGCTATGTAAACAAACAGTTGCGTTACTCCCCCTTCCCAGTCCCGTGCTCCACGCCCATATACTAGCCGTCGGCGGCACCGGCAATACCCCTCGCCCCCCCCCCCCCCCCCGCCCGATACAGTATGGGGCCGCAATGTCAGACACCTGCCCCCCTCCCCCTCTGCAGGGCGCACGCTCCTCTCCCCTCCCCTCCCCGCGGCGGGCGATGGGCACACTATCACAGCGGGAAGCCAACATGTGGCCGTTGATACCGGTCGGTCATATGCGAGACTCTGTGCTAACACCGGCCGAGATACCGGCCTCGTGGATAGGGAACGATGAAGCCGACACTTTGTGTGATATCCATAAACTACGGTGAAGCGACAGAGCAATCTCGAGTTATCATACCAGCGCCGTAATGTTAGCAAAACGGCCTCCGGCTTCACCCGAAACCGACGAAGACCGCAGAAATGGCTCTCTGATTTCTGACAAAATACTGAAGTCTGCGGAAAAAGCACCGATGGAGGATGAAGTGCCACTTACCCTCGACGCGCTCCTCGTCAGGGGTGATGGTGGCGCACTTGATGCCCACGTTGTGCTTCTTGATGGCCAGGGCGGCGTCGATGGTGACCTGGTCGTCGGTCTGGTCCCGGTACGGCAGGCCCAGGTCGTAGTACAGACACTCGACCTGGTGAAAAGGTCACAGAGGTCACCGTCACGGTGCGGTAGGCCCAGGTCGTAGTACAGACACTCGACCTGGCGGAGGGGTCACAGAGGTCACCGTCACGGTACGGCAGGCCCTGGTCGTAGTACAGACACTCGACCGTCACAGAGGGAGCACAGAGGTCATATAGGGGACACAGAGGTCATAAAGAGGTCACTGGTCATGGCGCGACAGGTCAGGTCGTATTAGAGGCACTCGACCTGACAGAGATTACTGAAGTAATCCAGGAATCACGGGTCCCAGTGTAGAACCAAAGTCCTCCCCAATACACACAGCTTTTAGCTTATACGAAAACCTACCATTACGATGATTACCGATTATAGAGCATTAACTTTTAATTATAGACTGGCCATTGCACTAACAAAAGACGACAAAGTCGCGTCAATCCCCAAACGATCAAAGTATTTCCAGTACTAACAATGTGTAGATCCGACAAGTGATTTGTTCTCGTGCCGCTTACATCCGGCCCCCAGGGACCGGCCGCTGTCAAACGTTTCGTCCGTGCCGCTAACTAACAAAGGTCACGGGTCAAAGGTCAGGGGTGAGGCGGCGGGTCACGTGCCACCAGAGCAGTCCACAGTACGATACCACCGGGACCCGCATAGATGGGATAGGCGTCAGAGTGAGATAGAACGGGACGGCATCGGATAGATATGATGGTTTGAGGCGGAATGGATATTAGGTGGGACCGTAAATATGAATGGCGAGGGAATCATTGATGATCATTGATCAAAGGTGACTTTCTTATCAACAGGTGAAATAACATTTTGGTCATTCGTTGCAGACGGAAGGAAGCAGTTATTGTGAACAATAAAAATGCTTAATTACCTATCATATTCGCTTTAATAATAACTATTTAGAACAATTTGATCATACAATAGTTTAAATTAATGAATTCTGAACTCTGAACCCTTACACCAATTTGTATCCAGATATCACAGTCATTTCCCAGATCAATCTAAGCCAAGGACGACATGAAGGGGGTAACTTGCGAGCTCAACTCTCTGGTAAATGGAAGCAATCTGTTTCACAACCACCATAAGGTGAGCGCAATCAAGCAACAACTCGACAGCGCTCTAATTTAACAGAGGTTAGAGCATGCAGGATCATATGAAAGCTCCGCCCTCGACAACCCAGAACAAAGTTCCCCATAACGCCAATGTCTACTCCATGATCATAACTTAACAAATCTTCATCGTTTAGCTCCAACCGTGCGGTGGCACGAAACTGGACTGTATTTTCATCGTCGGACTGCTCCAAGAGTGAACGCGTGGCCGGCCCGGGCGAGGCTAACCGTTGAATTCCAAATGAGGAGCCACCGCGCTACCTCGGCACGTGAGCTGGTTTTCCGCCGACTGACCAGGCTTAGCGTGGCCCCAGCGGCGAGCGACACTACAAAACGATCGACCCAAGCGGCCCCGAGCGGGCGGTCGGGCCTTTGACCAGGCACTGATGACATTATCGCGATGACCCCACACTGGGGGGTCGACCCAGCTTTGTTGTAGCCACAGCGGGTGACCCTATCCTGCTGTTATACCTAAGATAATCAGCTGGAAGTGGCTCTCTGTTTCATAGACATAGCTCCTTGGAGCTGCTTCTATGGAGAACACAATACCATGACGTCCGTTCTTGCTCCGAACCAGTATTATCCCCTGGCTTTCTTTCACACCTATATTTCAGTTTGGGTTGCCATTTGCCAACGTCGTCAACACCTGGCCTCATCACGGACCTAGCAACAGGGTGACCAGACGCGGGGAGAGCACGTTCTGGTGCTGGGTCCGAGGTCAGGCTGCACCGTCTACACAACGCGGTAAAAAGAGGAGGGGTGATGGAAGGTGCCAGGTGGAAGGGAGAGAGCGAGAGAGGGATGGAAAGAGAGAGAGCGAGAGAGAGAGAGCGAGAGCGAGAGCGAGAGCGAGAGCGAGAGCGAGAGCGAGAGCGAGAGAGAGAGAGAGAGAGAGAGAGAGAGAGAGAGAGAGAGAGAGAGAGAGAGAGAGAGAGAGAGAGAGAGAGAGGGGGCAAGAGAGGGAGACTGAGAGATCGATAACTACCGATCTACCGATAACTTCCGATCGATAATAAGATCGATAACTACTAGAGATCGATAACGGTAGATTATCAGAGGCTCGTTTTTTGCTCCATCTCTGATAAAGCCGTGCCAGTCACCCCCCCCCCCCTGCGGCCCCTGTCTGGCTTTTGTTGGCGAGCTGGGGATAGACGACACGAGGTCAGTGACCTCGGGGTGTGCTGGTTTTTGTTGTGCTTCCATCAGACGCGGCTGACTCACTGGAAGAGACAGGCGGCCGGCGGGGATGGTAAATAAACGGACTCAGCTAAACCTGGCCGAGTCTGAGAGCGGAGTCGGGTCTCTTGGAACGGGGCGTGGGTGCGGATTCGAGCTTCGAAACTGAAACTAGAATTTCAGCTTCGCTCGCACTCAGCACTCAGCAGAACCAGAAAATCTTCACACACCCTCTAATCGACGACTAATCTTGAGCTCGCGGACTAGGTATAATTGAACGAGCTAACTGAGGCTGGCGTTGGCGAAAGCAGCCTCAACTGCATCCGGAGCATTGTGCTGGATTTTCACGGGTCTCACTACCACACCGCTCACGTCAAGGTGGGGAAACCATGCCACTCACGTTGAGGTAGGGGAAGATGAGCGTCTCCTTGATCTTCTCCCAGATGATGCGGGTCATCTCGTCACCGTCCAGCTCCACCACCGGGTTGACGACATCGATCCGCTTCTTGGAGGCATCTGGAGCACAGAGAGGCGGGACGAGCGGTTAGTGAGAGGGTCACAGACGCGGGTAGAGGGCAGTGGCGGCTGGGTCTGGTTACAAAGATTGCACAAAGTTCTGCGGCGGAGGCGTCTGGCAGAGTGGATGTGGTGACTGAAGACAGGCGCCGCCACCAGAGCTCTGTTGAGTAATGTCAATTGGTCTGTCTGTCAAGCAGAGCAACTGATGAAAAATGGAGAATGAAGCATTGGACGATAATAGCTGAGGGATAGCTCATCATTCACTTAGCTTCGATTTAGCGGAGAGCAAAGCGTTTCGCTGCCGAACACATCAAAACAACATCAGAAGCACACCGACGGGAGTCGAGTTTCTACGCACCCTGTATTTCCTCGTTCCGGGGTGACCTTTGCCCTTCCCACTCACCCCTCCCCTCCCTCTCCTACAGTGACATATTACTCCGCTGCCGTCTGGCGAAACCGCAAACACCCGCCCCAGGCCTAAAAACACCCGCAGGACGCGACTGTCGGCCGTAAAAACGTGCGACACGAAAACGTAGCACCGAGGCCCACAAGGGCCGCCTTAAAAAAACAGCCGGGTGTGTGCCTCTACCGGCCTGCCACGTGGCATGAGATGATATGGAATGATCGCCTGGATTCCTGGAACCAGTAGAAGTAGCTGGAGAAACGTGGAAACCATTGCAAGTGTCCAACGCGTCCAAGAGGCCCAAAGCTGGTAGACAGATATCAGCTAGTCTGTAGAAAGAAATCCAGACCGGTTTCATGCTAACCGGTTTCTGTTAGCTTGAGCTATCGGAAGTGCTGCAAAACGTTTACAATTAATTGGAACAGGTAACAAAGATTGCATTGACCCGTTCGAAAGTAACAACAACAGATAAAGGTCAGGTAAAGGGTTTACATGCATCTCTTCCTTACGGCGGGTGAAGCTGAGCGTCCGCCACGCCCCCTCGCCTGCCCCGCCCCTCCCATCTATCGCCCGGCACAAGGTCAGGTTCAGGCGCACCCCACACACACACGGCGCTGGCCGGCTGCGGCGGCGTGGCGACCTTGGGTCTTGAGGGCGGCGACCCGGCCGTCCAGTCCGTCTCAGCCGGCGTCCGCTGCAACTCCGCCAGTCTGCGTCGGTGGCGCAACAGCGAGCGAGCAGCGGCAGGGGAGAACGCTAAGGGCAGGGGAGGGGACCGGCGCCGATCGATATCTCGAGTCCCGAGCGACGTGGAACCGCCACGCTACCGTACGCGGGCGGAAGCTAGCGTAAGCGGATTTTGGTGGCAGCTGCGTGGAAGTAAAACTTCGTCTAACGGCCGTTGCAACGCCAGACGCACACCCACAGTGAAGCTTAGCGTTTAATGGGGTGATAAGAGGGAAGGTTGTAGGTACGCGTTTCTGGCGTGAGTGCGCCATAATGGTCAGCTTATGTGCTCTAAAGTAACGTGAATGTATTGTATTGTATTGTATTGCATGTCTTAGTGGGATCCAACAATGTTGGCTTTTACCGCCACAGTGTCAAAGTACATAAAGGACACGTATATCACACAGTCGTTGAAGCAGATTTCAGAGAACATGAGATAAAAATAGGTATGCCCACGCGAGTGTGATAAAACGTATAAAATCATATAAAAGTACACACATGGCACAGCTTGGCTAGAAATCACAGACAAAAAAAGAAAAAAAAACGGATGATAGGTAGCGCGTCTATGACTGGCTCTCGTATGCTGCTCTTACGCTGGCTCGGAAAGTGGTCGGGTTGATGTTTTGTCGCTGCTCGTTGGGCAGACGGTTCCATGTCCGTAAAGCACGAACTGGCACGGTCTTGTGTGTGACCTCCATCCTGCATCGCGGTGCGTGTAGGACACCGTCGGTGGCCGAACGAGTGGTCCGCTCGGACACATCCGCTCGGGCACACACAAGCGATCTCAGGGCTTGTGGAGTGTCGGTGCAGTGCACAAGTCTGTGCACTAAAGCACAGTCTCTGAGCTCGATTATTTCGGCAAATTTCAACCAGCCCAGTTGTCTGCGAGCGGCTGAAACGTGATCGGTTTTCTTTTTACCGGTGATTATGCGGATGGCGAAGTTCAGCATCTTCTCGATGCGGTGTTGTAGCTGATGCGTGGGCGGGGCCCACGCAGGCAGGCAGTAGGTGACGTGAGGCATGACCAGGGTTTGGATGAGCGTTGTCATGGTGGAGGGAGGCAGCGTGCCTCTCAGCTTCCTGAGCGTGATGAGGGTGCCATACCCGCGCTGCACGACACGGGCTGTCTGTCGTTCCATCGACAGAGTCTGATCAAGTAAGACGCCGAGAAACTTCATGTGTTCAGTGCGTTCCAACCTGATACCGTCGAAGGTGATGTTGAAGTTGGTTACTTTTTTGACAGACGAGGTAGTTCCCACCAGTGTCATCTCTGTTTTGTCAGGGTTGACTTTCAGTCCGTTGCACCGGAACCATGCAGCCACCGCTCCCAGATCAGCCTCTACGTTCCGCTGAAGCTCAGCAAGACCGTCCGCGGTGGGGAGCGCGCTGTGCATAAGGACGGTGTCATCAGCATACGATACTACCTTGCAGTTGGCGGACAGATGACATGGCATGTCATTCGTGAGGGTGTTGAAGAGCCAGGGCCCCAGAGTGCTACCCTGTATCACGCCAAAATCGACCGTTGCCAGCTCGGTGCTACCCCGCACACCCTGTGTTCTGTCCTTAAAATAATCTCGGAGCCAGTGGTCTGATATTCCGTACCAGTTGAGTTTTTGCAGCAGTCTTTCACGATCAACAGTGTCAAAAGCCTTGGAGAGGTCACAAGATGTCAGACATGTCACTTGGCCCTTGTCTCTGTTGGCAGCTATGGCGCTCACTACGTCTACCACAGCGTCCTCAGTCGAGTGCTTTGGGCGGTAGGCATATTGCGTTGGTGTTAGAAACTGAGTTTCAGCCATGAACTCGACAAGCTGCAAACTTACGACCTTCTCTGCGAGCTTTGCTATCACACTGAGAACACTGATGGGCCTGAAGTTAGATGGCAGCGTCCTGTCTCCTGACTTATGAATCGGTACTATAACCGCGCGTTTCCAGATGGCTGGGACTTGAATGACATAATTGTCCTGAAAATGGTTGCAGTGCAGCCCACCATTCATGTTACAAACAATGCCAAGCTATTTGAAATTCAGACGAGCGACTAGACTATCCAGTCACCAGACAGGTTAACTTCTTCTACTGCATGTATATTGTATAAAAAGGTCGCTAAGAAAAGCTACACAAAAACGGCCACAAAAACGTTCACCAAGGTGGATTTCGAGCCGCCCCGCCCTGCGGTGACAGTTGGTCGTTCGTTATCGGCCGTCCATCTGACCGCTGATGAAGTCCCCATGACAGGTAGAACAGGAGCTGCCAAGACCCGGCCAGAGAGCGAGGCACAGAGCGGTAATGACCCGGGAGCGACCACGTCACTTATGGTTTATGGCTAACGTTTATGGCCAGAGTACAATAATGCGATACATTATGACCAAAAGTATAGCACTTTTGGTCATTTGCCTTTGACGGTAATTACAGTACAAGCCCATCCTAACAATACCACAATAGCCATTTTTGGTACTACGGATAGCTCATCACATAATGCCACCACCGCGACCACTTTCGGTATCGAATATCGATCGGATGTCAACTATCGTGTCGCCCCTTTGACACCCAGCAGGCAGCAGCTGTGGGACCACAGGGGGCACCGTGCCGGCTGTGACCCGCTGAGAACCGCGAGCCCACCTGCGGTAACCAGCGAGCCAGGCGGACAACTTTGGCTAGTTGTATGATTGAGTCAAATAATGGAAAGCACCTGTAATAATGGATGATAATTGATACACTACCTATCGATATGTCGAATGAAGTGGGTCGATGAGCGAGGCTTTATAGCTGGTAATAACCTACACGTCTACAAAACCGCAGAAGGATTATAATGGACCTTAGTATAGGTACGTGCCTAAGTAATAGTATTCTAATCCGAGAAAACGGTCCATTTCTCAAATGCATCATGTAGAGGTAAAATAATAAAATTGTAGAATATAAACAACAACTTTATCGTAGCAGTGTAGTGTCCGACCCACACGCGCTCCGACGGCCGGCCAGCAACCCCCGATACCGATACAGCGTATCAGCACACGGGGCCACACCCGTCTGGTCGCTGTTTATTTAAACGAGTTCCAACCATGTGTGTATGTGCGAGTGTCACTCCGGTGGAGCGTCGGTCACCCAGAGCCGTGAACAGGAGCCCGGCAGCCTGCACTCGCTGGAAATTCGCGCCTGTGCTAGTTGGGGGCCGGAGGAGGTTAAATACTTATTGAATATTGTGTCCGACCGAGGATTAGGGTTGACGGTTATTACCCTTGACTGAGAGCACATAAGACGCGTTTACATAGGGTTTGTTGCAAGCTTATATCTCCGTCTGTGATGTTGCAAAAGATGCCAATGGTGCTGAACAATTTACAAAATGATCCCCTCTTGAAATATTTGAAGACCACTGCATCGAAATTATGGCCAAATTAACGAGCTAGAGCCTCGTCAAATATGCTATGTAAACCGGGTTATAGAAACACCTGTAGAGGTCCGGGAATACCAGTGACCAGAACCTTTTCCGTAGTTGAAACAATGTTCCTTCGGTTCCAGAATTCAAATGATAGATTCCTTCGAATCGAAACGTCCAAGCCGGGCACAGCCGCAGTCGTGAGGACCACTGGAGAGCGACACGCGAAACTTTGTCCACTGCCGACAGGATTCATCCATCCATGCAAACGGAGCAGTGACCAGCCGCCAAACCCTTCCCGAAACGGAACAAACACAGCCCAATGGAAAATGTCGTCCCTTCACGAGCACCAGGCCATGAGCGACCCGGCAGGGAACCGAGACCCGAGCGGCGAGCACGCACGCAGGCACACGGCGATTGCATCAGCCGGATTCTGAGCGACCGGAGACCCATGACGGGGTATGTGGGGATGGGTGACGGGGGGGGGGGGAGGGA